TTGCTATTTCCGCTAATCTGAAATTGAAAAAAGTAGGGTAGAAGGTGCTGTGCTTATTTTCCATACTTTACGGTAAATATATTTAAATATATTTTACATATATCATTAGAATAAAATTGTGTCAGATCAAATTTTAAAGAACCATAATTATTTAATCTGACGCATATATTATTTTAAAATGCAACATATATATTTTATTGTCCGGAGCGTAGCCATAGTTGATAGAAATTATTAAACTGTGACATTGCCGCATTTTTTAATGGTATTACCGCATTTATTGCAATACTTCCATATTATATTGCGGTAATATGATAATGCGGAATTCATAAATTAATTTTATCATCAACTATAAACGAGCGGAGGACATTTAATGTATAACAAAAATGATACAAAAGTTACATTTTTGATACATCGGAACAATTATGCTTTAACTGTTAATTTTGTTTAATTGCATCAAAAATGTCACTTTGAATATACTTGTTCACATGCGTTAAAAATTGCATTTTTGATTACTTCATTATTGATACTCCCAACATAAAAAGCATACGTAAATATGACAATAGGCTCCGGCACATAATGCTATTAATTAACCTTAGTATATATATTGCTATTTGAGCTTTAACCATATATTTATTTTTTATTAGATCAAGAATTATGATAATGTAACTACAGGTGCAGAAAAGCTTGTTGAACTTGCTGAAGAATTAGGATCTGATGATAACATAACTGCGATGGTGGTACGACTACCTGCATGGGGAATTAAAACGCCGGATCATACAAAAGCCTTAAGGAAATACAGACTTGAGAATGACAGCCCCGCAATGAAACGACGTGTATAATAATAATTCATGAGGAAAAGAATACTAGACTTGTATATTTTGTATATGGATATTTGATATTCTAGTGTTTTTTAGGTGCAATAATTTAATAGATAACTTATTTTAATTCACTAGTTAGGTGATTAGCGTTACATATAGATTCACTTCTCCATTAATTTATTGAAACCTTACCTGACTGCTTACCTTCCATTATATAAATATATAAAAGAAATGAATTACTGTATTATACATCGGGAATTACATCTTTAAGGAATTGTGCAAAATCACGAAGCTCCTCTGCGTTTATAGAATGAGACAGCGTGTTATAGGTTTTGAAATTGACTGAGTATCCTTTAGAATTCAAAAATTCATATGATAGTTTTCCAAAATTATACGGTACAACCTGTATGGATAAATTTTAACAATTAATTCTGTGATGATTAAAATAATAGATAATAATGAAGTTTTAACGTTTGAATACCGCATCAATAACACCATGGGCCATAAAAATTGGTGTTCCTTTATTTGAATCTGTGGTCATCTATTTAAGTAACAAATACGGATAAAAATAAATATCATTTTTGTTTAAGAGAAAATAATAAATTAATAATAAAACCTTAAATATCTTGTTCCTAAGTGGGAGGTAACCACTCAGCCTATATAAAAAAAAAAACCAATAAATAAATATATAACTTAATTCTTTTAATTCTTTGATCCCCCAAAAACTCACACGGCAACTCCAGCAAAGCGATATTCAGATGTCAAGCCAACCAAGAGTGCCATAGCCGAGCCTTGAGAGAAGCCACCAATGACTATGCGATTAGAAGGAATACCCGATTCTACTTCATCACGAATAATGCCGTTTAATCCCCTAACTGACTTTAACATGCCTTCTTCATCTTCATTTCTATCTTCTATATTTTCTCCTAAGTAATCAATATCATACCTATATCCCAATAAATTACATAAAAATTAGAATCAATTAATGAACTTTTACAGACAAGTGAGATGAGATAATTAAATTACCATGCAGGCATAACCATTCCATTATTTACTGTTATGGGTCGAGAAGGTCTGAATTAAAAAAATAAAGTATATATACATTATATATATATATATATATGTATATAGTAATAAATAACTGAATAACCATTTACAGAAACGCCTTACTCACGCATTTGGAAAAACGAATTTAACGTGACCCAACATTTTACTCAGGCCTAAAAATGCGGGGGATATTCCATCTCCACTATCTCCTAAACCCTTTTTATTAACACATTACGTTTTAAGTTTTTTTTCTTTTTTTTTTGTTCAACAATACGATTTAAACTTACATGACTAAAAACCACTGTAGCGGTATGGTGCTTGATAGGATTGAAGACGACGGACGTTAATGGCGTTAATGACATGATGTATATGAGGCCGAAGTTAAAAGAAAAAGATAAGCTCGATAAGCATAGCATCTGATTAGTTGTTGATCGATCATTGATTGGTTGTCGATCCTTGAAATTTCATTGGCCGTGTAGGATAGACGTTCTACGAAGAAGTAAATTTATTAATAACCCATAGTTGGCTAATTAATTTGTGTGTGACACTTTAAGTAAGAATGTTCAAAATATTACAATGCTTATGTTGTTTCAAAGAAACTCGCGCGCGATTCACACGAAATGGTGAGATGATCTCATTTATTGAAAATTTTTACATTTGATAAATTAATAAAATTTACTAGTTAGAAATTTATTTCACGCGAAATATAAGTAATTCACACGAAATAAAGCGGAGATGATATTATCATCTCGCGAGAGGCAAATCTCTAGTTGTGCGTCAAAATAAATTTAGAATCTACTTAAGCAGATTTTAAGTACATTTTATTTACTTTAATAGTTATAGAGTTTTGATAGCCAATACAAAAAAAAAAAAAAAATTGAAGCAAAAGTTTGTTGACCGGAATATAAACTCAACTAAATATTTAAAACTAGAAGGTCTTCAAAGATTTGTTGTTTCTATTTGGAAATGCGTAATTAATAAAGTTGCAGACATTAGAACATGAAATAACTCAGAGTTGGTCAAATTGCTAGTCACTCTGGTCTGTCAAGTGGTCTGGTCAAATTGGTCAAATGATTTAGCCAATCAAATTAAAGATTTTAATTATATAAAATTTTAATAAATAAATTTAAATTATTGATATTTGACCAATTTGACCATGGTCAAATTGGTCAAATGATCTAGCCAATCAAATTATTAATGGATAGGATTTGGGCTTTTGTACTACCAGTAGTACACTTAGAAGAATAGGTTAAAAATCCAAAAAATTACTTATCTAAAAAATTTTTATATACAAAAATCTGATAATTGCCAAAGTATAGTTTGGCAAATTTTTTTTTAATATTAATAATAAATTTTTTTTTAAAAAAAAATTTTTTTTAACTGCTATTTTTTGCAAATTTTAGTGTACTACTTGTAGTACACTACTAACATGAATTTTAT